GTTTGAGAATCATATACCTGGCATATATAGATTAAATTTTCCAAACCCTCATTAAGTAATGCTATATCCTCTTTGATTCCATTGATATTTTTAGTAATTTTATTACAGAGAGTTATGGATTCCAAGACTTTTGATTAAACTTGTATTAAGTTTGCGTCTATTTTCTGATAGAATTACAATAATCACCATCCATTCAATTTTTCTATATATTAGTAAAATTCAAATCAGCAGATCTGATCCGACTGATTCTTTTCAAATATCTGCTGGCGATATCTGGATTAATATATTTTATTTTAAGATATAGTTTAATTTCATTGATAGTTGTATAGAAAATTTTACATTCATGAATATCAAACTTTTGGAGCTTTGGACAAGAATGAATAATATTCCAAATTGCTATTTTAGAAAATGCTTTGCAGTGAGAGATATTCAGATATTCTAATTTATGACATAAATTTGTAATTGCGTATAAACCTTTATCAGTTATTAATCTATCACTATATCCCGCCAAGTTGAGATATTTCAGATAGGGATATGATTTTGCTATTTGGTTTAATGTTTTATCACTAAATTTCTCACTAAAAGTGAAATCTAAATGAACTATATTTGGGAGCAAACCCGCAATAATTTTGAATTTTTTATCCGAAAGATGATAGTAATATGGAATTTTTAAATGAGTTACATTCAAGCAATAAACTGGCTTCCGCTCCCGTATTATTACCATAAAATTTTTTCGTATATTACTCTTATTTAGCTCAACTTGTTTCCATAGAATAGGAGCACCACATCTGTACCACAATTGGGAAACATATAAAACGGAATAGAGGGATTTATCTATCAATAAGAAATATAAAATTCGTTCTAATACTTTTGGTATACTAAAAATTCTTGAATGTACCATAAATAATGTATGTATTAAAAAATCGAAGAACAATTTAAATTTCAAATCAATGATCAGTTACCCATACGTAGCCATATACCATCTTTTTCTGAACATGGGAGGAAAAAGCATAATTAATTTCGATTTGAAAAAATATTTTTTATAGTGTATATAACCTAAAGAACTGTTCATAACCTACCCAACCTACTATAACATTAGATCATGTCAGCTATTGTAACTAAAATCATTGAAAAATACAATCTCAGCTCCGAAATGAGTGTGACTGATCTCAGTCAATACATCTCAGAGTTTCTCGAGAATCTAACTGATGATAAAAAGCGGAATCAGGCACACAGACGCCTTCGGGATGGTTTTAACTTTAGGAGTGAACAAGTAGGTGTATTAATACCTAAACAGAGGGGTGGGAAAAATAAAACTATAAATATTGTCGAAGGTAATTGTAGAATAGTTATAGCATCACCCCCAAAAAATCTGGAAGAAGAAATTATCAGAGAGATAGCAAAATGAATCTTGCAAAATAGATATGGGTTCAGTAAGGATCAAGTAAATGTCTTATTCTCAATTCAGAAAAATGGAAGTAGTCACAATGTAACTACCTCAGATAAGGATGGAGCACCATTACTTTGCAATTTCCAACAAACTTTCGAAAGGAATGGAGGAAGAAACTATCAGAGATATGGCGCAACAGATTTTACGGGATAAACTTAGCATTAGAGATATAAGAGCTGAAGCTTATATCTTAGCTCTATCAGCAAAAAATGCTAATGCTGGCTTATCATGTCTCACTCGTCTTCGTAAAGAATTAAGGAATCTTAATGCATCACTTGAGATAATCGAGGCTATGAAATTTCCAGATATTACAGAAGATGCCAACAAAATTCAGAATGTCAATTGGAAAAAGGCTGAAACTAAATGTATCAATTATCCAGATGAATTTACATTAGAATCAGTCAAAGAAAGATTAGATGCGTATGATATTAAAACTTTACCTAATTATCAGGCTCTTGCTGATGTTATGGTGATGCTTTGTATTCGTCTTGCTGAACTTAAAACTTTACGCATTACAGATGCTGAAGTGACGGGTTATGTGAAGAATCGAGATCAGCCAGATATTCCTAGAAAATTTAGATCTATAGAAAAGAATCAAGAACGAGCCAAAGAACTACTCAGTTGGATTCAGTGTGCTATATCATCTGGACGAATAGGTGATCCAGGTAGGCCAGGTGTTAAATGATTTAATAGATTCTTAAAAAATTATAATTTAATTCCTAAATATTTACGTAAATTAAGAGCAGTTTACAGTGCAATAGTACATAAAGCTGAGAATCCAGCCCACACCTATACAATCGCTGGAGAATATCTATGTCATTCATCCAATAATCATACTTTTCCAGTACAAAACTATGTCATGGTAAATTATCGGAAGCGGGGACAAAAACCTGAAGAAGTGAGATCATTCAGACTCTATGATGATGAGAACTAACCACGCTTCTTTGCTTCAAGAACTTGTATACGTATTTCACTTTCATCGATGCTAGAATATTCAGAGCCTGATTCAGTTGAGGATGAAGACGAAGAATCACTAAGAATGGATAATTATTTACTGAGTTATTTTTTCAGTTATAATATATATCATTAAATAATATTTGACATGTTTTTCATAGAAACACTCGTAGAGGGGAAAATCTCAGTAAAAGCATTAATTGATACATCGTCGAAGTTTAATACCATTAGCAAGAGCTTGTTCAATAAGCTTGAAGAAGATTATGGAATAAGTGATCCTGTTGAAAATCTCTATGGAGATGTAATAGGTGAAATAAATGCTTAGATTTGCAATTTCACTATAAAGAAAAGTGGCGAAGTTTAGATGGTACTGAAGTAATAGACTTTCAAATTCATAAAAATTCATCATTTGATTTGGTATTAGGGAGAGATTGGTTATGGATGCATAAAGCAAAAATAGGTTTTGGATTCTCTTCTGAAATCAATGATTTTTATGCTAAAATTGTAATCGATGGTATGAGTATCCCATTAATTGAAGAAAATAGTAATAAAACCAGCTCTAGTAAAAATAATTTATCTGATTCTGAAACAGAAATTGATAAACCTCCAATTCAAAGCTTTATTTCCTCATTTAAATTCAATTTCCGCAGTTGCTCTCAAAAGAAAAAAAGAAAGTCTAAGCATTATATAACTGCCTTTGATGAGAATAAACCTGATTTAAATTTAGAAAAGTTTATAGATATGTTTAAGAAATTATCTATAGAGACTAATTTATCCAGCTCCGATTCAGAATCCACAGATTCAGACTGGTATGATCTCGACCCAATAAAACCTTGAAAGAATCGTGTTCATGTTAAAAAGAAAAAGATTATTTTCTCCTATCTAAAAACATCGTAAAAATAAGCTTCGTAATAGGGTCTATTCTCCAGAGTAGTGATCTATCCAATCAGAATAATTAAAAACTGTTAACAGTCAGAAATTTATCAACCAATCACATCACGGGTAGGATCGACATAGAAGTATTTTGGAGAAATGACACTCCGTATCTCATGGAACATGTCAAATAAAAAAGCCCGTGATCTCATATTTATCCTACATGCTTATTGCTCTATGCTTTCACCATTACTATTTGGATTGAATTTTGATAGACCTTCCAGTATTTGAGACGATAAGTTTTTGTATTGACATAATCACCACTACACCACCTACCTTCTATATTATCTCTTATATTTTCTTTTTTATGATCTTTATTGCATATAGGGCAGGATACTGAACAAGTAAAGTAATTACTATATTCAGTTTGAGCAAAGAAAAAAAATATAGCGATTTATGAATGGCTATATATACATGTATATTGCACATAATGCTAAGTCATTATATAAGGTTAATCAAGATTGAAGATTTTTCTATCAATAAACTCCCTAAATTTATATATCTTCTTAGGAATAGTGACTTCTGGATTCTCATCATACCATACCTCAAGAAGATAAATCCCGTTAAGTTGACACAGGGTTCTTTTTTTTCGATCACGGTTAACAATATCCTCGAGTTTTTTAACATCTTTATACCAGCTGGTGTTATGAAGCCGATGTTGAGCTCCTTGAACCTCTAATGCAATTCTATTACTTCGGAAGAAGGCATCAAGTTCTAATCCTTCCATAAAAGATGGTCGATATTCAACCATAGGTTCCTCGTTAAGAAGTATCTGGGCTATTAGAATACATTTTTCCTGAAATTTACGATTTTTCTTAGATTCCAATTCTTTTTTAAGTTCATCTATATCCTGTTCTAATTTTACAACTCTAACTCTTAAGTTCAACGTTCTCGGCAACAGCATCTGTCCTATTTTTCTCCAACTCATCGATTCTGCTCTTGAGTTCGGTGTTCTCTTCCATACCCTGTCTTCCGTATTTTTATGTAAAGCATAGATCTATTCAAATTTCGATTTATGAGTTACACATAAAGTATGTATATATGTATTTATACACCCACATTCATGCATACACGAGTTAAAAAACACAAACCTTAAACGCAGACAAACTTTATTCGAAAACTTAAAAAAAATACAATCACGACTATATCATAAGTATATCATCTTCGATGAGAAACTTTCTGTACCCGATAGAATACATACAGTATAATCAACTGTGATGTAAGGCAATTATTTTTGCATGCGCATTATGGTAGGTCGTGATGCCGATTTAAAGGCAAGCAACATTGGGAATCGCGATGACGAGCAATACGCAAAGCACCCTAGATATCGAGTTTGAGCCCAAGTAAGTGCATTTACGCGAAAATGTTAACAGCACGATTTATTTTTTTTTTCATATACATGTATATTCGGATCACAAAGTGTTCTCGAAGCGTAAAACCTAGGGATTGATTGCAAAATTTTCATTCAATTTTTGACACAACTCAATGAAGGAGACCGAATATTCCTTCGGTCAATTTGAAGGTAATTCTTCGTATCAGTTTGAAGGGGTAAATTAACCATATGATTTAGAAAAAGTACTTACTCGTCTTTTTCCTTTATTCCAAGATACCTGAAAAATCCTCGATATCTACATTGGCTGTGTGGGCCGTAATCTTATTAAGTCTTAAGAGGTTGTTACAGATATCTGGAACACCAGCTTGATGTTTCACCCTTTAAGAAAGGATAATGGATTAAACTGATGTCAATGTATATAAGATATAGAATTATCTCATACCAAGGCAAATTCACAGCGACATTCTTGTGCCAAGTTCCAATTGCTTGACCATTTTGAAAAACGAATAGTATGTTCAGATTCATAAAATCGGTTGCTCCGTTTGCAAGGAGGTTTGCGATTATAGCCCCTTGGGTCTGTCCTGCAACACCGTTACGGCAATTTGGAACGTTGGTGTCATTGAAGCCGGCCTGATTCCAATCGAACAAAAGTGCGGGCATTTCGTCATCGGTATCTTTGCCTTTTAAATATTTGAGAATAAGAGTGACAATATCTGGATTTTGAAGAATTGTAGGGAGATTCTCAGGAACTAACACAAAATATCAATTAATGATTTATAACGTCAACACGCAGGAAAATAATTTAACTGCTACCCACCCGTTCCACACTTTTTTGCAAGTTTGCGAAGTTTCTTTTCTTGCACTGTATATTATCAATATATACATACTGTATGTGAAATCGGTTATAAAAAATTATTAAGAAAAAAAAGAACAAATACACTTGTCGTGAACGAACTTGAAGAGGTTTAACGACATGTTTATAGAGCATGATAAAAAATAATAACGATATTTATTGGTATGATAAATCAAATTTTTAATCAATCACACAATCATATGCGGACTAGCCAAGAATAGTAAAATTGCTCTTTCTCTACGCCAAAGTAATAATGTAATAACGATAATAAATTAATATACATATCCACTTAATTTTTTTGTCATGACGACGACTTCTTAACTATGACTCCTGAGTTGTGACTACTGGCACGCATCTCTGAGAAGTGAAGCTTCACTTTTTCGCTTTCCTGAAGAGTGCATCGTAATAATAGAGAAAAAAGCGTGAGAATCGATTAATCCGATACTTGCAATACGCGCATCTCGGTAGGCGATCATTTGAGACGAGTGATATCGGATCGCTTCGGATTTTAGTTAGTATTCGAGATCCGCAATTTTATATTACTCATAACGTGATAATTCATGTATTTTTCAAAAAATGCGTATACATAGAAAATAGACATATAAGCAGTGTTGTACATTTTGAATGTCCAAAGGATTTTCGAATTTGTCCCGTCCCAATTTACTATGTCCAAAGCATGTCCTGTCCAAGTTTTACTATGTCCCAACTGTCCCAACTGTCCCAACTTTTGTCCCAACCTTTGTCCCAACTGTCCCATGTACAACACTGCATATAAGTGCTCTGCGATAAAGCCTGATGCGGGTAAACCAAACATTTCGAATATATGACGCAGTAGTTCACATTACTTTATTAATTTTTTGCTTAAAGACATAAAAAAAGTCTCAAACTTCGAGACTGTGACTGAGCAGTCACGGTCGAGTTACATCATAATCACGTGATCACCACATTTTTACCCCGGAATTAGTATTCTTCTTAACCTGAAATCCTACATATCCAAACTTAGATGGTGCAGTATGCATAATTTTTTTTCTCGATATAAACTCTGTGAAAGACGTTCCCACATTCGAGTATTGTAAATGTCTTATAAGTAACTACTAAAATATTTTTGGTACAGATTGAGCATTTCGAGATTTCAGGGATTTCGGTTGATTCGAGAGAATTACTAGCTGGGTCGGATCTTGATTCCTTAATTAACATCTCAATCAATAGTTCTCGTGCTGAAATATTCCGTTGAGTTTTATTTTCTTTAGAGGATATATGATCAGAGAAAAAGAGAGGAACACTTATCCACTCCTTCAAATAATAAGCTTTATCACGGTGAGATAGGTTACGGATTGCATGTTGAGTTCGGTGCTATTCATTATCAAAATATTGTATTAACTAATTTACTACAGAGATTTTTCTTCTGATAAGACACATTTGTGGAACGAACGAGTCGCGTAACCAAAGTGCTAAGCAACCAACCGAATTGGAAGGAAATTGTGTGCATGTTCGATCAGACAACTTACCGAAGTAAACTTGCGACAAATAGCTACGCAACCCTCTTATCAACACAAATGCAACCTAACAGAGAACTATACTAAATTTCGTACAAAGGTAACCAATTCGAAGATAAAAAAATATTATACCCTTAGCGGATTGAAGATAATATCAGAATC